TGGAAACCAGGCCAGGAGACGGATACAACGGGACCAAGAGCCCCCCTGAGCCCTACAGAGCAGGAGGAGGGGGACATACTCTTATCCTGTGCCACCAGCAAAAAGTACTTTCTTCACCTGGAGATAGTCCAAAGACTCTGTGCACAAAAAGGTGAAGACAACTGCATTAGTATATAAATTTATCTGTCTATTTTAGAAGTTAGAATGGAAAAGTGGCAAGAATAGCAAGAATAGGCACTAAGAAATCTCTTGCGCCTGAAACTGGGCATGTTCCCAGGAGCCCTCATGCAGGGATGGTCCTGGACCTCCACAGCTCCAGAGGAGGGAGAAGCGTAGGCTGGAGAAGTGAGTCACATATAAAAACTTATTTATGGATAATATAGCACGGTCAGCAATGACGGTGACCAACAGGCTCGGAAACTGATGGCATGTGGTAGGTCACAGTGACACGGGTCACAGCCCATACACCCTAAAGCTTCTGGGTGTTGGCATGTTAACCTTGCGCAGATCAGACAGAAAAGGCCCCCCAAGGAGGAGGTGAAGGGGAGCACTGTGCGCTCGCTGCGCTGTGCCTGGGCAGAGCGTGATACCGCTCGCCGCGTTATCTCCCCAGGGAAGGGGGCCCTTGTAAGGCAAGGAGGTTGCACCAAGGCCGATCTGCCTGCAGCTCTTCAAACGTGCCCGGTGGCCTCTTGCTCACTGTGTCCGTGTTCAAACTGCAGCGCTCTAACTGCTCATTCTGAACAGCGCCTGGGGCTGCATCGCAGCTCCTACCCCAGCGCATCGGCCAGGGGCAAAAAATGAGGATTTTAGTACCCGCTGCTGGCGAACCAGAGCCAACAATTCCTGCGGGAATGAATCCCATAGGCAGCATCTAAGCATATATGGGTGAGGTCCATCACCATCATCTACTGACCAGGAACAAAATCATCACAGGTGGCCCAGCCGCCTACTCCTGTAACCCAAAACGCACATTAGCTGTCAAAGAAGCAGCTGAAGCAGCGAGGCAGGTCTCCGTGAAAGGCAGGCAGGGAGCGGGGGAGCTCCTGCCCGCAGCGCTGGCGATATCGGCAGGACAACGCTTACGCAGTGGGAGGCAGGAGGTTGTACGCTGAGCTTCGTTTTACAGGAGTGTTAAACCTAAACATCCAGGGACCACATTTGCAAGATTTTGAGAGTACCAGAAAGGACATTTTTAGTAGCAATAAAATACCAAAATACAGAGTTATTTTTTGTTCCTCCCGCAGGATGCTGTAACAGAAGCCACCCTCGTCTTTGGCTTTTGGCAGCATCGCCATTGGAGCCGGTTGGGATCGCCGACGGCGTCCACCCCTCAACTTCTCCCCTGGTATTGCTGCAAGTCAGCACCGCGCTGGAAGAGCTGACAGGGAAAACAGTCATTTTCTCTTCCTTTTTCTGGCTTGTTTATTCTGTCAACACGCAGAAGTGCTGATATTTGCACAGCTTCCCAGTTTTTGGTAGCGTACTCTGCCCCGTGCACAGCGGGAACAGGCACAGGGCAGCACTGCTGATGCTGAAATAGGAACTCTGGTAATGTAGAAAATGTTGCTTTTTCAGGACATACTATTTCATGGGCAGCCCCTCAGGGATGGGAATGTTTTCCAGGTTGGTTAAGTGAAAAATAAGCAAGTGGGTGATGGAGGTTGGCAGCAGGCCTGCTCTTGCTGGCCACCCTCGGCCGCTTGTTGGCTGCTCTCCTATGTGTCTAACCAGGTGGTGAAGAAAAATAATGAACAACAAAAATTCTAGATTGTTGTAGTGAATCCAAGAGTCGGACTGGATCGTTCTGTCGGGATCTGCCCAGGGCGTAGCTTTGCAGCAGAGGTTACTGCGAGGGGTTAAGAGTGGGCAACTGGAGGCAGCAGCTTCCTAGGCCAGTTTAGCATCAGCCAGAACAGCACTTGCTCTGATTTCATTACCAATGAGCTGATGAAATTTTTTTTGCAAAAAAGATACCCAGATTAATCACTCTTACGTGAGGGCTTAAGTAAGTACTGTATTTCCCTCCTGTATTTTGATCTAACCTGTAATGATCGTTGCATTTCCCTCTGCCTTTGACACTTAAGAAAACAGGGCAAAAAAGAGAGAGGAATACTGTTGAATTTTACCATCTTTTAGTATCATCCCTTGACAAAATATGATCTATAGCAACAGCATTTTGTGTACTTAAAAAAAAAAAAATTGCCTGCATTTCTTCATCAATGGGGCACAACAATCTATTTGCAGAGTTCCATGAAAATGACGCCAAATGACAGCTAAAAATCTACCACTTCCTCCAGAAAAGTTTCACAAGTAGAAATGGGAGATCAGTAAGGAGGCGACTGCTGTGGTTCCTCTTTGTTGCCTTGACAAGCCCCGAGGCGTTCGTGTGCAGCTCACCTGGGAATTAGAGGCACGACTGATGTTGGCATTAGGCCCCCCCCCCATTGCTTTTATTTTGCGAAATTTCCTGAATTTTTTCTGTTTTTTAAATAAGCATGGCACAGTGGGGATCTCACGACACCACGAGATCTGCATTGCGTTTTTTGGTAGGCAATTTGCTAACATTGAGCACATTCTTTCATTAGAAAGAGTTTCCTTTCTTTCCCCCCTCCCTGTTTTCTCCATGTTGACGGCTGCGAGGCCACACAGGAGCCAAACAGAGCTAAGCACCAGCTCTAAACCTTTGGAAAGACAGCTGGGTTTTAACACACTTTTCGAGTCTCCAGGTCAAAATAATTTGGGGTGGCGGAGGTTGCATGCCCTTGGGCTGGGTGCTCCTGGGGGCTCCTGGAGGGAGAAGATGCAGGCAGCTAGACACAGTCTCCCTTTGGGTGCACGTAGCAAAAGGAGCTTGCACAGGACTTCCAGCTAAAGTGGGAACTTGCTGTTAGCGACCACAAGCACCTCGGGTAACTCCCACATGCCGCCGAGCGCCTCGAACTCACCAGCGCCCCAGGAGGTGTGAGCAAAATCACGGCACTGAAAACAACAGTGGTAAGGATGCACCGACTATGAACCGCTGCGCAGGGAAGTTTCCTGTTCCTGCTTGTAGACTGCTAACATTCAATACTTCCAGGGTGGGATGTTGCCTGTAAAGATCATTTTCCTTATTTGTGTGGTAGCGGTTTGGGGAACTGCAGATGTGGGCTGGGACCTGCTGCCCTGGCTGCTACCGAGGCCCTGAAGGTGACCCCTAAATACAGTGTCTCCCTTGTCCAGAGCAGCACAAGCTGGAGAGCTTAAGGCTGATGCAAAGAGCTAAAGAGCTTCGCTGTCTTACTTATCATCCGACGTGCTTTGGCCACTGCTGTAGAATAATGCAACAAAAATACACTTTTATGAATAAAATAATATTTTTCTAGAAAAACCTCGAGAAGAGATCTAGGCTTTGTACTAGCCTATGAAAATGAATTTCAGTTATTAATCTAGTTTTCCTCAACGCCATTTCTATGCAGAGCATCTCATCTATGGGAATGAAAGCATATGGATCTTTTTTTTACAGTTCTCTTTTCTCTAAACCAGTGCACATTGCTTTTTTTCTCACCTTCTCCTAGCACTGAGCAGCAACTCTGCCTCCTCCTTGCACTTTCTGTGCAAACAGTTGTGGTCAACAGCAGCAGCGAGAGCTAGTTAGAAGGATTAGTATTACACTATTGGGGGAAAGAACAGCACTTTCATTGAGATTTCTCCCTTTTTTGAGCACAAGCATATAGGCTACGATACCTGATAAAGGAGCAGGACAATTTCCGTTTCCCCCAACCTGATCCAGGGAGCCTGGAGACAGCAAACTTGCATCCGCTTTTTGAGCCAGCGCAGCTGTAAGCTCTGCAGGGAGTAACAGTGCGGTCACCAGCTAGCAGGGCCACAGGGCAAGTCTGCAATATAAATAAGGCTATTAAGTAAGCATTAAATGTCATTTGAGATGATCACACTGTGTAGAGAAAAGTAAAATCGAAGAGGCGAATGGATCATACAAGGTGCTTGTGTGACATATATAAACCTGGAAAAAACTCAGTGAGATTACTACAGTTATTCCAGATTTTTGTATTGTGTAAAAATCAGATTCTGGATGAGCTCTGTCTGTGGCAATCCCTCTTTTTTTTGTTTCCCTGTCATTTCTACTCTACGTGCCGAGCCCCGGTTTGCTGTTTGCTGGCTGCGCCTGCGGCCTTGCCCGTTCGCTCGCTGCTGGGAGCCTCCTGTGCCATCCGTCCGCGGCTCATCCGCCTCGTGCCAGCCACGCGGGCTGGAAGGATTTCCTTCGGCGGCATTTCCTGGCGATTTCTGACTAACTGCAGAGGAAGTCAGACCAAAGAAATGATGAATCTTCCATTTTTTATTTTTAAAAGAACCTCAAAAACGGCATCTCTTATTTTGGAGCTATGAGCAACCTGCCCTCTGCCCTGCTAGAGGTCTCGTCCTTGCGAGTAAGGCAGGCACCAAAGCTAAACGCAGTTTCTGCTGGGAAGCCGTTGCCCTTTGGGGAAGCTTTACTTGCCAGCTTCAGCACATGGGACTGGCCAGTGCTGTTAAACAAGTACTTCATAACCTGAAAGAGCCGGCAGGCGCCCGTGGGCCAGCTCAGCCCGACTCCGCGCCGGAGCTGCGGCGGGGCTGGTACGGGGCTGCGTCACGCGGACGTGGCGTTAATACAAAACCAAGGGGCCGAAGAGTCACCGAGGCCTCCGCGAGTTTGCAAATCCCCGTATTGCTCAATGGCGCGTCTCTGTGTGGGGAAACCGCCTCTGGGGCTGTACGAAAGGTCACGCTGAAAGCTCGCCTCGAACTTTGGTCCCGCAGCCCGGAGCAATGTTTGCCTTCTGGCATCCCCGCTAGCGCTGGCAGACACCCGCCAGCATTGCCTTCGTTTGACCTTCTGCCTTTTCCATGGTCCTCGTTTTAATTTTTGCAAATTTTACCTAACTTCACCTAATTTTAATTTGACAAAACCTCCTAGCCTTCCCTGGGGAAGCAGGAGCACTTTGTGGAGCGGTGTCCTTCACGGGGTGGGCTGCAGGGCTGCTGCCTTTTTGTTAGGGACCTCTATATTTTCTCTTGTGGGAAAAAATGCAGAGTAGGCCTTCCTCATCACTCTGCTCATACGGGGAAGGAAGCAAAAAAAACCCCAAACAAACAAAAAAAAAACCCCAGCAACAGTAGCGACAGCAACATCTCTAGCTAACGGCATAGTCAAAGGCACTTCCAAGAGCTGAGCTCACGGCCAAAGAACTGAATAATATTTTTGAATGAAAAAGCAAACCAAACTGCAGCAACCGTGTGCAAAGAAAATACCCAGCAGTTACATTAAGCCTTGTAACGCTCCGGGAAGCCCACGAGCGGAGCAATGACTTTTCAGGGTCTCGCGCAGGCATGAATTTGCCAGCACTCTCCTTAGCACCAAGATTTCCTTAGCTGCCAGGACAGGGGGCAAGTCAGGACTGTGTAAAAAGTGAAGATATGCCATAATCTGATGTAAAAGGAAAATCAAATACCAAGTAGAGCAACGCAGGACAATAAACGAGAAGTTGGGCTGTTCTGTGGTCTCTCCTGCGTTACAGCATGACACGGTATTTGGCTCCCCAAGGGGAGATGGGCCAAACCACAGCCACGTTTCCTTCTCTTTATTTAAATTCTAGACGTAGTGCTACTGACACCCAGCATGCTCCTATAAATATGTATAACAGGTAGAGCAACATCTCCTGCACTTTAGATGCTATTTGACAGGGAAATTCAGATCTTTGGAGCTGTCAAACCGCAGCACGCAGCCTGCATTAATCGGTGGCTAAGGGACAGGACTGAGTTGAGACCTGGGCGTTCCCACTTCTGCCGCTTGCCTGTTCCTCTAATGACACCTGAAAATTAGCCAAAAGTACCGGTCTCTTAGCCGAAGCTCTTGGACATGTCCTGGGGAGAGATCTCCAAGCTGGATATTACCTTAGTGGCCCAAGACCTGCATCACTGCACTGCCACAGCCCCTGGTGCGGATGGGATTACAAAGGAATGCCCATTTTTCGTATAGTGCTCTATTGATATGACCATTTCCAGTTAAAAAAAAGACCAAAGCAATTGCACTCCTAAGCAAAATAGTTCTCAGAGGGAAAAAATGCCGGGGTGGTGTGGAATTACTGCTTTTTTGACCGATGTACAGCAGAGCGCCCAGGAGGAAAGGGGCTCACGTTTCGTACCTGCTGGACAATTTGGCTAACCAGCTGGCTCCAGCGTGTCTTTTTTTCTTCAGGAGAGTGTTTAAGGCGTTTGAAATCCACAGCTGTGATTAAAAAGAGGGGTCTAGCCTCTACCAAGTGCACATGAAGTGATACTTTTTGATGATTAGAAAATAACAAGAGAAAAAAGAACCCGAGAGCAAAGTATTTTGTATGGAAAGAGGGGGACGCCTGGCCTGGTGGGGAGCTTCCCGAGTTTTGTATGGCCTGGCACTGCTTTTCTTCTGCATTGTTCATCCACAAAGTCCCGGTTCCTGATGCTGGGTTCAGAGGAAGTCCCTCAGGGCCGGATCTGGGACCGGGACCCTCCGTGCTCGTCTGCCCTGGATGGCGGAGCTGCAGCTGGGCAGTGCCACAGGGCCCCAGTGTGGCCCATGTCCCTGCGCAGGGTCGGGAGCGGGTGCAGAGGAGGGACCCGGGGCTGCGCCCATCTCCTCTGGGGAGAGGTGTCAGGGCAGATGGAGGCAGCAGCTGGGCTTTATTTATCCCACCAGCCCTCCCTACAAGGCTGATTACAAAATTTCACCCGAGTGCCTGGTATCGAGCCCCAGAACTGGGTTTATTATCAAAGTCACGTGCATCCGTGCTTCTTTAGATGTGCAGCTCAGCTTTTCTCGATGGCTCTCTAAGCACCGCAGCCCCTTTACTCACTGCACCACGGGTATCTAGGCAGGATTGCAAAGCACACGGCTCTAACGCTGACAGTTGCCTGAAGGAATAAATACGCTACCTGCTTCCCAGACTACCTGTTCGTTGGGAGCTAGCAGGTTTGCTCAGCTCGCACCGGTGGGCTGCCCTGTCTGTCGTGCGCATTAAAAGGATCCCGTATCACCAGCGTGCTGCATGTGCTAACATCTTTAATAGCAGCTAGGCTCCTCAGCACAGAATGATTAAAGGATCCCACTAAATAACAACCGATCGTTGTATGCAAGCCCAGGGCATAGGCTTAACAAATCCATGTTCACAGTCGTCTTTGGTCAGCAAAGTGCGGCCCCATCCTCCCCCTGCACTGCTGGCGGGAATCGAGGCCGGCAGATCGTGACTTACCCATGGCCTGAGAAGGATGCAGCTGGCAGGCTGAGCTTCCTCCTCCTCTTTCCTCAGGTCACCCGCAGGTGAGCTTTCTGCAGTGCAGGTGCATACAAACTGTTTGCAAGCAGAACATGCATCCAAATAATTTATATGAACAAGCCACAGTTTAATAGAGAAAAACCTGAAAAAGCAATGCAAGAAAAATGGAAGTGGAAGAAAGGTTTCCCTATGGGTATCTTGACTTGTCAAAATAACTAAAGATCACAGCTATATTTTATATTAATTTATTAGAAAAAAGATACACTGTTTAATGTGCAAATATATACAACAAACATTACAATGAAACATTGGGAAGGGAGAGCCAATCCCCTCTATCAATGACTTCTCCTTAGCAGAGATGACTGTTTAATGCTTCCCATAGATTTACAAATACCAAAAAGTATAATGCCTCACTTGCACAAAACAAAGGTTTATTTTTATTTGAACAAAAAATATTCCGGCTTTGAAATGGCAAAAGTCTGCTAATTTGGTGGCTTTTTTTTTTTTTTAACCTGAGCAATTTCTGCAGAACGGGGGCACAAAGGAAAGGCATTGCCCTGTGCTTCATTCTCATCACAGCATCTGATGGTCTTTGAATCACTGAACCACTGAATCATTTAAAGTGAATGCAACTCCAGAATCTACATCTATTTAGGTTATTCGCAACACTGAAGGGAGCAGGCCCTACCCTTGGAAGAAAGGGTTGAAAACACCCAGCTCCAGCTGTCGACACTCTCAGGCGAAGTGTTCATTTCCGACAGTAAGGTGTTTAATGCTGTCTTCTGAAATCAAGGTACTATAAGGAAATGAAAAACATAGCTTAGTCCAAAAAATAAGAGGGTCCTGGATCCTGCTACGCCTTGCTCAAATGAGTGATCCTTGAAAGGCTGCAGAAAATGGCCATAATAACCCCTAATTGAGTACAGAAGTTAAGAATCCCTGTAACTCCAAGCAAGTACATAAATCCCGATCTGTTCAGGAAAGAAGTTCAGATCAGATTAATTTATTTATGGTTCTTTAGGATTAATTCCAAGCAAGTGTTGGACGCAGGTAGTTTTTGTGCTCCCTGGCTGCAGGCAATTTAAGTAAGAGCGATCCGTATCGCATTCACCTTCCTCCCTCCAGTGCCGGGGTGCTGGCACTCGGCTCATTTCTCCGCCGTGTCCGATGGCTTGGGACACGCAGCTGCTCAGCTGAGCCTCCTGCCTGGATTTTTCCTAAAGACCACCAGGACTGAAACCCTTCAGCTTGTTTGTGCGACTCAGCTCCACGCGAGAGCTCTGCTGAGCGACGTTTCTGATCGCGCCAACCCTATGGGCGAGCCGCCAGCAGACACCCTGCCACCCCAGGGGCCGCTGGCCGCCCCACGCGCGCAGAGCTGCAGGGCCTCCCTCCTCATTGGTTCTGCTGTCCTTAAATAACTACTTGCAAATAGCAAATTGATAGCCCTGGAGCAAAGGGACGCGGCTGTGCGTGGAGCGTGCCTGGCTGGCTCCGCAGCCGGGGTGCATTTGTCTTGTACCAGACAAGACAGTGTCCAAAGCTGCTGCAGTTTTCAGGTGCTTTCGGTGTCTCTTTCCTCTTTGGCCAAGGTATCGGTATTTAGGAGCAAAGTTAATTAAATGCTGACGCCGTTTTGCTCTGTAACGTATCTCTCCTGCCAGTCAGCGGTAACAACACCGGGACCCAGCGGTTGCCGCCTTAGCGCCCACAGGCATGGTGGTTACATACCAGAGCAGGGGGGCAGCTCCATTTGGGGTGAAATCTTTAATAATGGAGTGACCACAGCAGATATGGCTTTTTTGCCATCCCCACACCATCCTCCTCTTCTTTAGCCTGTTTGGAACGTTGTAGGACTTGACCAAAAGTGAAAAAAAAGAATAAGAAAAAAGCCTTGGGGAAGAACTGCTTTAAATTTTTTAATTTTTTTTTAATTGCTCACATTTCAAGTGTTACACTTGCATAAGAATGTATGTCACAGGCCCTCAATCAGTCAGTAAAAAAGGACTGATATGAAAAAAAGCAATTGCATTGCTTTTTCTCCCCATATGAAAAATCTGAACAAAAAAACAAGCTTAGTTTTTAGGTAGAAAGTGAAAGTTGGATGCAACTAAGCTGTGTTTGATCAAGATAACATATCTCCAGGGCCAGGAAAGAGACACATGGAAATTTGAAGGGAGGTCTATTCTGATCTAAGGACAGTCAACGCCGGCTTACATGTCCATTTAGGAAAGAAAACCATGAGAAGAAATCTTCATTTTCCGAACTTCTGAATGATGCAGTAGCCATGTTTGTGAAGGTTTAAATATTTTTACAATAAACTGGAATAGCAAGGGAGTCAGTTGTCTTCAATAATGTTGTATTTTTCCATTTCAGAGGATATTCTGACAGCTTGAAAAGAAACACTCGGGTAAAACATGACCTGATTTGAACACTGTTGCAACCTGAATCAGCGGCTCCCACACCGTTGCTGTGCAATTAGGATCTGCAGTAGTACAGTGCAATTTGTGGAGCTTTTCAGTGCTTTGCAGGGCTCTTGAGCAAGGTTGCGCCATATTGAAATACACTTCTTAGCTGGTCTTTTAATTCTTTCAGTATTGCAGCAAGCACCAAAGGCATGCAAAAGCATTCACATCTTTGTAATGACGGTTCTTCTGCTTCTACCTCCATGCTAACTCCGAGGAGGTGCACGTGTCCCCTGCATCTCCCTGAGCCTCCTTCTCCTGCTGCAACACAGGGCACAGGTGGTCAGAGCTCTCCTAAACTTGTTTTTGGAGAAAAACTTGGGGTTTCAACAAACTAAATTTCACATCAAACCAGTATGCTTTCTGCTGAATTCTTCTCAAAGCTTTTCTGAACATCAGCTTTCATTTTAGAGCTTTTTTGAAGGGGGAGGGAGGGAGAAGCCCAAAACAGCAAGTCAACTTTCTGCAGTATGACCCCCATTTTCTCGAGTAGCTCCAATCCAGGACCCTTCATGCCTGCAGGGCTGGGTGTGTGGTTTGCCCCAGAGTCAATAAAGGCGCTGGTGAAGCTTATTCTTGCAGGAAAAGCTAGGAGATTGATCATGGCGGGTTCCCAGCTTTGTTTTTGCTCTAAAGGAACAGTGAGGTTTGCAAGCACTTCAGCTGTCTTGAGGTAGGAGAAAAGTGGTGTTTCTATTAGCTAAGCTGCCGTTTCTAGCAGGACATCAAACTTGGTCCTGTCCCTCAGCCTTCCAAAGTGCCCCAGTGGCTGAATGCAGAATGCAGGTGTGAAAAAAGATAACTAGGAAGCTTGAAATGTCAGCGATTTCCATCATGACATTTCTATGACCTCAGTTTGGTAAATCAGCATTTTTTGGATGTTAAATTACAGTAGTATAATGCGGTAACGACAGGCACACGAAGGGAGGCCAGTGAATTGGCCCTGTCAAAGAGGAAAACCCTCATAAAGATCCTGGTTCTCTATCCTTGCTGACAGGAATAGACCTCTTATGGCTAGTAGGACTCACTTGCATGAGGAAAGGCTCCAAGATCAAATCCAGTGTGGGGTAACGCAATGGTGCTGCATGCTTCCTTTATTCGAGAGGCCGTGTGCCACCTTAAAATAAAGATTGCAGACAGGCTTTTAAAGTTAAATAGGTTATAAACTATATACGTATGCGATCCTGAGATAGTGCCTGTAACAGGTCCCAAGGTAGATAAGCTTCCTGAGCCCAGAGGTCCCCGCGCTGCGTAAGTGCATTGTTGTTGTTGTTGTATTTTGGCAGGCCCGCTGGTCTCTCGGACCACAGTGCTTCCTAATGCTCTCTCTCGTCGGGGTGTGTCTAATGAAACAATCAGTCTGACGAATGCTACCAGCAATTCCCCTTGTATTTCTTCTGCAGTTCGGATGAAAGCATTCTTGATCCTTTGCCAGTTCTCCCAAGACTTGCAGAAACAGGCTTACAGCTTCTCTTTCTATTTTTTGGCCAGGCAAGAGCTGTGCCTCTGCAGCCTCCTGCTAGAGGAGCGGCTATGCTGCGCTGTGCTGAAGACACAACTCAAGATATGAAGAAAATATCAGTAGTAATCAGATGGAAAGGCGACGTGTATGAGCGGCAACGGGGAGAAGAAGCTTAATATGACAACCATCATCTGGAGGGTCAGAGACCACGCTTTCCAGTTCCACCAGTGCACAGTCCTATTTTGAGTTTCTAACAGCGTCAGCTCAGAGTCAGACCTTTTAAACCCAGGGGAAAACTATTTTCCAAAATTCTCTTTACTTAAGCACTATGTATTTTAAAAGTTCTTTTTATTGTTTCAGTATTTTAGCCCTTAGTTGATTAGTCACCAACAGCTGTCAGATGCCCGTTGCCATAAGCAGTTTGAGCACCTGCAGTATTTGAAGGAATATCAAAAAGTAGCTTTAGCAACTAGGAATTACACAACAGAGGGAGAAGGCAGGACTAACTAGATTAATGCAACATGTAGTGGATTTGTTAACACTGAGTGTACGACTTGTCCCAGAATCATGCCAGAAAACAGTACCATGTAGCTTACTGGTAAGGGCAGTAAAAAGAGTAATGCATTCCTTTAATCATCAGTGAACCACTCACTCATTCAACATACTATTTCCAGCTGAAATCAAAGGTTTTCTATTAAAAATGTAATTCCTCTAGAGACCACATGCATCTTACAACTCTCTCTGCCTTTGAACTCTGCTGTGATAGCTGCTTCATTAACATTGTGGTTCCAGTGCAAAAAGAAAATCCTCTAAATCCCAAACCTTCTTCCTTTAAACTTTATATTTCCTCTCATCTGTCCATTCCTGATTAGTGTTCTGTAAAGCTTGAGTCTTCTGCTCATCTACCTGGACGTAGTCCACTCTCTGCTCCTCAGAGAGAAAAGGTTTCTGTGGGAGAGAGGGGAAAAAAACCAATATATTCATTTCAGGATGAAAAGGGATGCTAGTGAAACTTGACTTGATTTTCTGTTTTCCCTTTCCCTTATTCTTTGGTTGCTTCGCTTCACCTTGAGGCTCACAGTGACATCAGCTGACAAAAGCATTGCTTTACAGCCTGCTTTAGATATAATTATCCATCTGTCACCCTGTCACTCAGCCCAGCACGATGAGAGAGGGAAACATGCTGTTCTGGCTATTTCCATACTGATAATCATTCTCTTGTCATCCAAATGATCCTGCTGCAGGGATAACCTACCAGCATTTTAAACAAAGGGAGGCTTTAAATTAAAGGAGGCTTAGGAGTCTTTTGCCTCCAAGAATATTAACTGATGAGGAAAACAATATGCAGGATCCAAAATTTCCATGACGGCCCAAACAGACAGCGGGTCTCTGCTTTGCAGAACATTGCATTAGTTACCTGCCCGGGGCCCCGGTGGATTGTAAACTCTTTGGAACAGGGATTGTATTTTCTCAGAGTTGCTAAAGAAATTGAAATGCTTTTGGTGATGCAAGAATAAAGATGCACATTTTGCCATGGTACAAGAGATGGTGCAGTACCCTGTGAATTTATCATGGGCTACAAGCTGGTTATTGCAGACAGATTTGAAGAGGGGAGGGGGGAAACTAGCAGGAAAGGGTTTGTGGAGACTCGATGAAAATGAAAGAGCATGCAGAGATCCTGCAAGCACCAACAAGCTTGCCCACAAGCCCTTACCACTGCACACCCCAGGGCAGTCCTGTGCCCTCTGCTGAGCTCACGCTGATGGCATCACTGTAAGTCACGCTAAGGACACCTTGTCGTCTGTTCTAATCATGCTTTTAGTATGTTAATCTTGAGCCTGTTATGAATGCAATCAGCTGGAAACATAACCAGCTTCATCATACTTAGGACACCTAGAGGAGTGTGAATCTCGGTCGTGTTTTCCTCCCAGCAGACAAAAAATAGGAGGCTATGAGGTTTTCAGAGATGACTCATACCTTCTGTACAGGGGATGGGGAAGCAGAATTAAAATCCAATGCTAAGTAATCAAGGTTAGATTTCCTTGTCCATGGAAAAGCACCACTGTATGGAGATGTTGCCTGTCTGTGTTCCTGTCAGGAAAGAAGAGAAACTTTTAATGTTCTTACACCATGATCCTGAAACGAAAGACTATGCTCTGAGGTGCTAGACTCATCTGGCAGAAGGCAAATGAGGAAAGTCAGCACCCACATAATTTTCTGTGCCAAGGGTATATTTATTGACTAACCACAGGATAACACTAATTGATTGTGGGATGGTACAAAGAAATTCAGGAAGCCTATTCTCCTGGTAATTATAGCAGAACAAGCAAACTGGGATGATTCGCATTCTGATTTAGAAAATCAGGAGGGATTTGTGGCCAGCTTCCCACACCAAACCCCTGGACGGCTCAGATTTACTGTGGGTGCCATCTAAGCCACCAGCGCTCTATGAATTTGAAGAAATGGTGACAATTCTGTTCATATCTATCAAGCAAACATTAACATCAGGAAAATCACATATGACCACAAATATGTAGAAGGTATTAATTGACTAGAAAATCAAATGGGGAGTGGTTACACCTGGAGCTGCCCCGGGGAGCAGATTTGGAATCTAGTAGAGGTGTGGGTTAAAACTTGAAACTATGGTTTGTGGTCAGTGGTCAGTTCTGCAATACACTTGTAGAGCCATTGCCGTTGGGCTTTGGCTGAGGAGACAGATTTGTAGACACTGACTCAGATCAAGGGTTTTGAGATCCATTTCTACCTGAAATTCAAAAGAAACCAAGATTCTGGTCTTTTGCAAGACATGGCTAAAGAGTGAATGAAGAAAAGGAAGCCACAAAGCCAGATGTTCTTCTTTCATGGGATGGGAAGTAGGGTTAGTGCCACCAGCCAAAGCAGAAGCAATAGGAGACTTTAATGGGGGTTCTGTTTCTGCACAATATTTAGTGTGTTTCTTTAGGAAGTGCACTAATGGCTTTCTGTCATTTCCTAGGAGATTTTGCAGGGTGCAATTTTAAAAGGTGAAAAGATTTAATTTTCCTTTGCCTTAATGAGTTCTCATGTAAATATGGCTGATCCCTGTGATCTCTTGCAACTGCTCAGCAACATTCGTGGGCGAACAGCTGAGTTCTGCAGAGCAGAAGAAGGGCTTCCCTTATCTCTCTGTAAATTGGACCCAGTGTCTCGGGTTTAAAACCATTTCATCATTTTTTTTTTAAACAGAAGGCAAAGGACAAACCTCCTCAACATTTTTTCTTAGAAAACAAACTTCAGCATTCTCCATCAGTGTGACAGAGCAGAATAAAGCAAAGGATGGCTGTGTGAAAATGAAGATTACCATATGAATGTAACTTTCTTCCTCTTCTCCGGAAACTGAATTGGCAAATATTCTTGCTGAATTAATACCGTCTCTTTCTGGTGAGATAAAGCTCATTCGATTGCTATGAAGAAAAACACAGGAGAGGTTAAGGAAGCATCTTACAGATGCTCTGAAATGAAGCCAAAGCCTGACACAGTCCATATGGTGAATAAATTCACACTAATGCTGCAGCCTTTATGGAGAGGATGTCCAAAAACGTTCCTTAGTTCTAAAGAAAGTGTGTTATAGTCCTATGAGTGTCTTGGTTGATTTTTTTCTGGGCTTTTCTTGATGTTATAAAAGTTTGCCATCTCTGGCATGACAGAAAGCACAAACCGTCGGAGCAATTCTCCAGCAAGGGCACAAACAGAGGCAGACATCATTCCTCCAGGTAATGTGTGCTGATGGAGCAGTTACTTTGTTGTACGTGTATCCACATTTTGGAGATTGACGTGAATTAATCAGCTACTGGAGGTGCAGGCGGAGGAACTTGGCTGGCTTTGAACACGGAATAAACACATGCTATCTGTACCGTGGAGATGGCTGCAACTCAGCTGTTTTACAAGGAAATTTTTTCCACTAACACAGCTGTCAGAAGTATATCATGAGTAAATTATTGCAGGCTGGCACAGTGGAGTTAGTTATTAAGAAATTAAATAGTTACTTCATGCAGAATGAAAAGTAATCCCTTCGGTTTATTAGTTCCGGGCATACTTCTTTTTTAGTTTTGTTAATGTAAAACATACAAACTCCCTCAGAGCTCGTTATCCTTCAGGACTCTGTACTGTGTCAGCATTAATTAACCGTGGTGCTCCAGCAGGGGTGTGCAGGGGGCAGGCTAGCGGGTTTTCCTAATAAGCAACAGGTGGCAGCCAGTGCCCAAGGGGTTAACCAGCTTCGGACTGCTGGGCTGGACGAGGACCCTGCAAGTGAGGAATTGCCTGTCCCTGACATCTCGGTCCCTTTTGCACTCCAAAGGCTACCTGGGGAGGGGGAGTGGGTGGCTCTGCTTGGCACAGATACAGGGCAGCAGATTTGTGAGGATTTCTGGCTTCGCATACGCATTTCCGCAGGACGGGTTCTCCTGTCACGCTTTCCCCAGGAGGTTTCCCCGCCAGCTCCCCACAGCCCTCCCCGACTCGTGAGCGCCCTAGGGCTGATTCTTTCACTGCCTTGGAGCCCAGCACTACAGTTTCTTCATATTACTGGGCTCTGGGACCAAAAGCATTTGTTTTACCTCACAATCAGTTTCCAGTGACAAAAGGTCACAACAGATCAAGCCTGAATTTGCATGTGGGGGGGCACAATAGAAACACAGTCTGCAAGTCAGGCAAATCTTTATCTTAACTAGTTCTCCTTTGCTATAGAAATGTGCAGGAACAAAAATGGCTTTATCACTTCGAAAAAAAAATTAAGGCGTGTGAAGCTTTTAGCCACCACAGTAGCCATACCTGAATGCAGATTAGCTCCAGCCTTTTCAAAAGAAACCTTCAAAAGAGACTATCTGAATTTTGAGAAAACACTAATCTGCAAGAGATCCAAAACACCGCACTCCTGACAGCACCACATGAGGCTGAATACACTGGATATGCCTGTCTTTAAAGGGATGCTTGCTTTTTAGAGACAGCAAAAGCCTGGGAGATGCTGGAAGGAGTCCTGTGGAATTTTTGTTTGTGGACTTTGCCAGGAAACTATTTCTTGTGGAATGTGATAAGTTATTTTTAACTCCATGCCACAATGTTAATGCTTAAAAGATTGGAATGGCAGGTTTCTTGTTGACTTACTAAGGCACAGTCCACATCCTGGTCACAGCAGCATGCTCCCGGATTGTGGAGAGGTTTCTCAGGTCCAGTGGAGGAGGCCGTGCTGCAAGTGGATACAAACGGAACTAAGTTTACAAAAGGATTTATTAAGAGCTCAAGAAAAGTATTGATATGTTAGAAAAATACAGTTTTACACTAATAGCAAGAAATTAGACAGTGTATTTCATAGAGCACAATCAATACAACCGAGAGAGAAATCAAGAGGAAACCAAGAAACCAAGAGGAAAGTGCTGCCTTCAAGAGGAAAGGCCAGTTCGGTCTACAGGTCAAGACAGAGCTTTCATTTGTCTTCTAAACCCAAAGGTCCCACATGCGGAGATGAAGATCTTTCCCCTCGCTGGTCAATGCACGTTTTCCACCCATTTCTCAAAATCCTCTAAGAAAGGACCTGAACTTGCTTTGCTTTTCCCTCAGTGGTCTAAATTTCTGCCCCCCACCTCACAGGATTATTTTCTCAACTGATTTCTCAGTAGCCCTGTAGCTTTGCAGCCCAGAGAGCTTCAGTATAGGCTGGGCTTTGGCAACAGCTCCTCTACAAAGCCGAATTTCATCCCTAGTATATCCTCTACAAGTATGACTCTCAGAGACTTTGGAGGTGCCATAGGAAGTAAGAGCAGAAAATTATCACCAGTAAAAGCATCTGCAGGAAATTCCTAATTAAACCAAGACAGCTGCACCTACCAAACAGAGATTTAACCAACAGACCACACATAAAGTCTGAGGATTCACATATTTGGACATCCTGTCCCTGGAACGTCAGGGAGCTGGTGAGATAGCAGCGCACACGCGATGCAGTTGCAGGATTTTTTCTGCTCTCTCTCTGAGGTTTTATCTGTTTGGCTGTCTGCAGTCAGTGTACACGCAGGGAAAGTGGCAGGGTGAATTTGAGCAGCCCTGCGCCACGCTAATGCAGTCATGGGGTCTCAGACTGCAAACGTAAGCACAGCCACTCTTTCTCTGCTTGCAGATGACCCTGCAGATGTAGCCTACTATGTTACAGGACTAAAAGCCACTACACAGCAACTCAATCTCCTCTCTAGAGTGGGAAACACGTTACAATGTGCCAAGGACACTATCAGAGGAGGTCACCAGTGGCTTCCAATTGCTCATTAGGTCTGGCCTTACATTTCCTACGAGGCTTGAGGTCTCGGTTCACTGGCGGGGGCTCCAGGTCCAAGGGAAGCTCAGGCAGGGGGCTGGTGAGTTTTTCAGTGCTGACAACAGGGAAGGTAAACGTAGCTGAGCCTGGGCTCATGGGAATGTAGCCGTCAGGCGAGCAGTCAGAGCCAGGGATGGACGGCGAGGTGCTGGGGTGCATGGGCACATAGCTGTCCTCCGTGCTATCTGATGTGGTCGAGTAGAGCGGGGAGAATCGACAGGGCTTCAGAAGTAGGAAGGAAAAGAAAGGGAAATGGGTCAGTAAACCAATAGCAAATACCCTGTAACCCAGCCAGTGCTATGAACTGGCAATGGAGCGGAATAGTGCTGCAGGCCAGGAGGGTCCTGATCTGAACTCTGTGAGAGGCACAGGATGGAATGACATGAGGCGAACACATGGGCTCAGATGCTCATGCCAGCTTTGGGAAAGTTCACTTCTGAGTTTAGCAACTCACTGCTGGAAACTAGGACCAGATTCGCTGGTGACTTAAGTAGGTTAAATCTTCTGACTTCAGCAGGGCTGCACTTGCCTCTCCCAGCAGCAATTTTGACCTATAAAATGAAGGAAGCCCTTTCATACAGAAAAACATCTAAAAGGAGAACATCTGATGAACTAAATTTTGGCAAACGTAGAAGCTGAGAGAGCAGGAACACAGGCACACAAGTTACTTCTCATGGCTGGGAATAAATAGTAGAAATTCACTGCACACACATTCGTACTGGCTTAGTACTGAGAAGTGTTGATTACAAACCTTGCAAGCTTTCAGGGGTAAGAAAAATATATCTTACACAGCCCCAGAGCTTACATATAAGCAGCAAAGGATCTCCCACAAAGGAGACAGGGTGTGCAGCTCCAGGCAGGAGGCTGACTACACAGTGTGCAACGCTGCTACATATAACCCATGTCTGTGCAACGCTGAGTCACGAAGCTGTGGACTGGCAGATGCTTGAATCACAGGGATTTTGAAAGCAGAGAATTTCATGGGCCCTGAAGAGGAAGTATCCATTGGGATCACGAAGTGCTACACTCCTTTAGACCCTTTTTTCAAGAGATAAGCAATTTTCTCGGGTGCTCTTGGTCAATAGTTTCCTCCTCAAGCCTGCTGGTTTCTTCCTCCGCAGCAGGCCTGACTCCATCAGGGTGCTCTCTGCCGTGACCTCCCTCTTCCTCTTCCGAAGGTTTCCTGTGGCTGCAAAAGCTGTTTCACCCAACGCCCTGCCAGGTCTCCCTGCCTGGGGAGACAGTCCGAGAGGGACCCAGCAAGAGCACAAACAGGGCTGTAGCCTCAGTCAGTGGCTGAGTTACTCGTGCTGGAGCACTGAGATGGACAAGAAGCAGCACAAACGTAGTTTAAAGCCAAATGCTTCTTCCATTTTTTATTATTTTGCTGAGCACAGGATGTGAAATGATTCACTTTCTGCAGTTCATCATGTGCCAGTGTTTAAATGTATGCTAGCAGAGTACTTACCAAATTCAAGCTAAGCCTCTTATCCCGGCTTCTTAAAGAGCTGCCTTCCAAGTCTCCTGCAATACAAAAACAGTGATTAAAAATTTGATAAGGTAGTGAAACCTTAAGGAAATAACTGAGTAAAGCATACGGCTTTAAAATAATTAGAGCTTTATAAAGACCCCAAATTCCTTATTATTTATCCTAAACGAGGAAATCCAATGAAACTTAAGACCAAAACCAACTCAGTAGCATTTCAAGAGCAATTACATCCATTTTAAGTGTGATGAATCCAAGGAACATGATCATGTAAAATCCCACTGTATATTCTGCTTCCTGTAATCACAAGCGGCTGGGGAGAAAGACTGGTGTGGTGGGGAGAGCAAAGAGCTAAGCAGACTTAAAATTTTTAATCTAGCTTCTGTTCTAGTTGCAGGACCTCTGAACACTCCTCTCTGTTTTCCCATCTGCCAAATTCAGGTAATTATACCACAAAAGACTGTAGAGAAGATTGACTGGTTATTGAAAGTTATTTGGGAGCCTCGGCTGTAGGGTGTCAGAGGAGCGCATGTTGTTGTACAGCCGACACGTGAGGGAACCGAACAGCAGGGGACGAATTCTGCCCCTTGCCACCAGGAAACACTGGTGTCTTGCAAGTGGTTCAAGCTGGGCAGAAATAAACAGCCGGTGAGAAGGTCCCTCGTCACAGTGCCCTCTTGTGTGGACTGACTTTCATCTTGGTGTAGGTCAAATTTTTTTTCAAAACAAAAGGCAAAAAACTGAAAACCAGCCTTCAGTGCATAGAAGAGCAGCAGTGGGAGATGCTGCAAGCATTTTGCTCTGAATAGTGGTTGATTGTTGCAGTTTATTTTCAAGCAGGATAGGAAAAAGGAGCTGGGGGAATGGGAAGAGAGAGGGCTACCTACCATCCTTCACTCCGACACACGTGTATGTATATAAACGCATATGTATACACGTACATACATAAATATATTTTGTATCCATGATTAAAATTACCATCCTTCTTTTGTGAAAAATGCTTTTCTTTGGCGAAAACGGCTTGTTTGTGGTTCTACAGTGCCTCTCTTTGGGAATGCCATAGAAACCCCTGTAAGCCTGTTAATACAGTCTACACTCCTACTGCAGTCTTTTCTGTGGTGATATCAGTGTAAAAGACAATAGAAGTGCTAAACCAGAACAAAGCAATACTTCCAGTGGGGGCATATATGTGTATATATATAAATACATGTGTTCAAATAGACACAGTCACTGTTGTGGGACAGCTATGTTTACTTATTATTTTAGCAAAAAAACATTCAGGCACAACTCTCTGGCAGATGATGCCAAAATCCAGATGCCTTATGTAGAATCAGTACACACTGCCTCTGCAGTGCCATGCCAGGGCCTCTGTGAAGCTGCTGTACCCCTTGCCTCGACCAGGTTGGCTAAAGCAGTGCAGATTTGCAGGTTGCCAAGGTCAAAAAATGGACTAGTTAACTTGTGACCTCTCTCTAGGAGCCTGTGAGAAGCAGCTGTTTTCTCTGTGTTTCTTTTTCATATCTTACTTGTTAAACACATTACAATTCAAATTTTAAAGTTGCAAATAGTTGCAGCTACACTTGGGGGTAAGAAAAAAAATAGCAGCACTTATTAATTCATTGCTGCCCCCTGTCAGGCAGAGATAACCTTGCAGCACTTTAGCAGAACATGACATTTGGGCACTTAATCCTCTTAAAAATAGTTTGGTGTAAATCGGAATGGAGAAACATTAACCATCGCAAACATGGCTGGTGGTGTTCAAGTGGCACATGCTTGGAAGCAAAAGCAGCGTTCTTCAGGGAGCTAGCAACCGAAACCGATAGTGAAGAATACCAGTTCCACTGATGGGTGTTTCTCCACAAACGTTCTGAGAATTGTTTGTATGCTGATAAACAGGCTGGGCAAAGGTGTCCATATTTCAGCTGTTGAGCTTTAAGAGAAAGACCCAATAGCCCCCAAACACTTAAGTGGTCATTCAGACTGAAGGAATTTAAAGACAGCTTCTCTTTAAAATGGAATATAAATGCCTGCATTTTCCTCCTCATCAAAAATGGCACCCCACTGCAAAATATTTGATAATTTCCAGTAAGGTGTTTCAACCGCTCCTCTCTGTTCTGTAGTTGCACAAAATAAAACTTTCTCATACTGTGTATGCTGGATTTTGACGCTTTGGATGTTGTGGATTTTTGACCGTTATTTGTGTGTGAGACGACAGGGTTTCGAGAACAAGTGGAAAAGTCACCTCAGCTCAGAGCAGAGTTTGGTTTGCAGCAGAGACTCTTGCTTGTTGCTGGTTTTCAAGCTACCCTGTATGAAATGCAAGGACATAGGCGGGAGGGATTTGCTCAAGGACACCGAATCCCTAGTTATTCTGGGATTACATCCCTTTGCCAGCGTCTTCCTGGCTTCCAGTTCTTAACTGTAGACATGTGAAAAGATATCCTTCTTCTATGGGAAGGACTAAATGCAGCAAAGCAGCACAGCTAAAAAAGCATTTCTGCTGTATAAGCTCACGTTTTGACCCACAGAAATAGAGTTGGCACTGCCTGATTTGCTGGCTGGCTTCTCATTTGTTTGGTTGTTTGTTGGCTGCTTTCTTTTTGGGGGGAGGAGGAGGCATTGCAAATTAACAAGTCATAAGTCACCCTGCAGAGATCACAGCTAAATTGCTGCCTGTGTCTACAAACTGATGGGCATTTACAGGAGCAGATGCTGAACATAACTGAGGGACAGGTTTCAATCCTGCTCACAAACTAATCTGAAACAAGCATTTCAGGTTGCTTTGAGGGGTGTATTTTTTTGTAGGCAGGAGGATGTGTAGGCACCCAGTGATTCCTAGCTGATTGCACAGCAGCTCTGCTCTTATGTAGGTCTCTATACACGGTTAATAGATCTTTCAGTACGCAGTTTTCAGCGGGAGCTAAAAACCTGGTGCCTGAATGAGAAGAGGGCCCAGTGACTATAAGGTCTTTGAGGACTTAGGAAAAAAAAAGGAAAGGGAAAAATAAGTGTCAGTGCCTGGCAGGGAGGCAGAGAGATTTGCCTCCTTTGCATTTCTCCTGACCTGCCCCATACCTTGCACCTGCTCACTGCGGGGCTTAGGGCGACTCTGGGGTGAACGTTTCAGACGAGGGCATGTAGGGCATGCAGCAGGAGGCAGATGTCTGCTCCACGCTCAAGGGGCAGCTCCATCCCTAATGCTGGGCGTGCCTCACTATCTTGCAGAAAGGTGCTTACCTTTCCAGTTCCTGACGTTGTCTAAACTGGACAAAGAGATTCTCCTCGGCACTAAAGCAACCTGGGCCCGGCAGATCCCTGCGTGGCCGTTGTGTAGGGCCCCACTGCCCAGCTCTTCCCCTCTCCTGTCAGAGAAGTGGGTGGGCTTGGGTGGCCGGGGTGGTGGTGTGTTAGACAGCACATCCAGCTTGGTTACACCGTAGGGCAGCGCACTTTGGCTCTTGTCAATCTGAAAGGTCGGTGTTAGCGGCGTCCCCAGCAATGGAGAAGAGGAGGAAAAGTCACTGGATGGCCTGCTAATGTCTATGCTTCTGGAGATGGCTCCATGGTTTGCCAAGGGGGCCCCGTCCTGGTGGATGGTGCCAGCACTGGATGGCTGCACAAGGTACGGCGAAGGCTGGGACTGCAAGGAGTCGACAAAAACGTCATCTGATGAGGTCTGCTCCAGCGATCTGTCAGAGTTTGACCAGCTGTCACATCTGCATGGGAGACAAAGAGATCAAAAACTGCCTCTCCTTTTCTTGTAATTGCAACTGAGCAAACACAGGCTCTCATAAACCAACCCGACGGCAGCCGCTGGCTGCCTTGGTGGCCTGCTTTTCAGTCCTAATTTGGAAAACATCCATTGATCACTTAATGTCATTTGCTTCCTGCAAAGCTGTCATCGAGCGAGTGTCGGTGCGTCCGTTCTAATGCACCGCCCCAGGAGTTCCTTGGCAGAGGGCTGGCCCACCACAGAGCTGTGCAAACCTGCGCCGGTTGCAAAGGGCACGGCCTGATCCCGCTCGGCTGCCAAGGGGCTGTGCAGCGGGTGTGGATGCTGGCACTCCGCGTGAATGCTGTATGCGACTGCATATGGCAGCAGCATTCGGCCTTTGAGCCCGCTGCTTCGGCGCCCGCTCGCTGGGGATGCCGTCTGGGCTCTGGAGCGGAGCCCGCGCTCAGCACCGGTGCCATCTCAGAGGCACACCAGGCAAGCAGTGCTCCTGCCCTCGCTCGAGCCAGGAGGATTTCTGTCCTCTGTGTTAGCGGCGATAAGCCTGAGCCCTCTGCACTTGCTCGTGCCTATGGAGAGGGAAGAGTCCTTACAGCAGCACTAGTCAAGTTTTAGCCTCCACACCGTAGCATACATTAAAATAGCTAGCAATTTCTCTGAAATCTTGTTACTGGGCAGGGGGAGATGTGGCTTACAAAGCTGAGTTCTCTAAAGTGAGACATTTGTCATGTTGCAGGAGCCCAAATCAAAATCCAGAGGAACTTTTAGAAAAGGAAGAGGAGGAGCAAGAGCACTGCTTGGCTGTGACTTCACCTCCTCTTTCCTCCTGAGTGATTCAACACAGCAAAAGGCACACTCTGGGCCAAAACCGGTCCCTCCTCTAGCAAGGAACAGAGACAAGCCTGGGGACTGGGGTAAATAGGTTGGGGCTTGGGGATGCTGCTGCCTCCCTGGATGTTTCCACTGTGCAGTTCGTGCCTCTGCTCAGGAGCACGCTGGGGCCAAAACATGATGCCCTACTGCTCATCACAGCTATGAAAAGTCCCTGGTAAATTGGATTAGGCTAATGGCCCCCCTGTTGGGCTCACGAGCCTGCACTGAGCTGCAAGGTTCAAGACCCAGCTTGCCACCAGCTTCCCAGGATATGGCTGGAATGGACGGAGGGTGGCCCTGGCCACGCATGTCTGCTGTGCGATGGCCTGGTGGCAGCCCACAAAGCAGCTCGCAGCCATACCTGGTGTGACTGAGCTTGCCCGATTCGCAGTTGGAGAGGAAGAGGTAATCGGGGAGGAAGACCGACTCTGACTCGCTGGGGGTCTCCTCCGCGGCAGAGGCGTCGGCTGCAGCGCTGTCGACAGAGGAGGAGGGATCGGCAACGCGGGAGGCGTGGGTGGAGGCAGCGGGCGAGGGCTGCGGGGATGAGGTGGTGTGTGACAGGCTCTCCACCGAATCTGCAATGAGAGGGGACGGCCCCGGCTGAGGACCAGCCGTGGCATGTGCCCCAGCATGCCGCCCCCAGCACACCACCCCGCCCTCCTCCAGCTCAGGAGGTGCATGGGACGCTGCAGGGAATGCCACCCCCTGGCCCCAGCAATGGCGTTGGGCAACCCAGCCAAGATGTTAACTAACTCAATATTCCAAGAAGCAAGAGGTTTACTTAAGAAGAGACGTTGTGGTCCAAAGCAACTGGCAGCCAAATCCCCCTTGCCCTGCAAACACACTAGGTGGGCTTCAAACCGGCTCTACCCCAGCAAGATGGGGCAGGGGTCCCAGTGCCTGCGCAGGACGGCAGCCCTCGCCTGTGGCTAGCAGTCGTGCGAGCGCCGAAGTGGGAACCGGGTGGCCTCGTGGCGCTCGGAAAGCCCCGCGGAAAAGGCTGCCCACTTCCCTTTTGCTGCCGCCATGCTCCTGTCGGGCGTGTTTTACCCCAAAGGGGCAGCGGATCAAGGCAGAAATGTGGATTCAGGGGAGAAGGAGCCTGGTTTTGCAGCTGCTGCCCCTCTGCAGGATGGGCCAAAGTAGAGCCCTGGGCAAGGGGGCTGCTGTGGCAAGGGGCTGTGGGAGGTGCCGCCCCTTGCCGCGAGGCCCACGGCTCCCACCTCACCGGAGGCCAGGCTGCTGCCTCCCTTCTGCATGTAGCAATGGGGATGGCTTCCTCTGAGGAGAGCATCGAGACAGAGCATCTGCCTTACCAAGTGTTTTTTAGGACCTCTCTATCACAAATAATTAATTATTAATCTCCAACACTTCAAATTAATGGAGACAAGGGAAGGGATTGATTTCTTCCCACTTTTGAGATCTCAGAGGGTGAAACCAATATGCCACTTGCAGAAGAGCTGGATTTGTGGCACCTCCATGCTCGTCTGCTGGTTCCTTATGCCTCTTGATGTCGGACACCTTTCGGACAAAGCCACTAGCGCGGCGGTGTAGTTACCACCACCAAGGCAGGGGCTTGGTGACTTTGCTGAGAAAAGGCATAGCGACTCAGAGAGCAACACCTTTCCCCAGGCCTTCCTCCAGCACAGCCTCCTCCATTGCTCCCCCGTCTCCAGAGATGTCCAGTCCTGCCGGACCCAGCTGCTGAGACACCTAGGAACATTTCCAGGCTGCGGGAGGCAGGGTATCACCCTCCAGTCCCTCCTTCCTGGTCCTGGGGCAGAGAGATGGCAGCAAATTCTGCGATGCATGTTGAGAGCTGCAGCCACACGGCGCATTACCCACAGGCTGAGCAGCAAGGAGCTGTGGCGAGGCACCTCTGGCTCAGTTTTTGGGGAACCTTGACCTGAAACTGAACCCTAAGTGCAAGTCAGACGTCTCCCTGTGGGCAGCTCTGTTGACGGAGCAGCTCCCCAGCCTCTTGCCTGCTCCTCTCAGCGCGCTCAGCCAGCAGCGCCGGGAGGCACAAACCCTCAGTTTGGGCGTACTGCTTTCCCGATGGAGTATCAGGTTGCTGTGCATGGTTCCCCGTCTGGGCCATGCAGGACTGGGTGCCCACAGCCGCCCAAAGGTGCATGCTGGGCTCCCTTGCCAGTGCCCTGTTCCCGTCAGTGCAAGCAGCAGGTACCCATTTCTCTAGCTAAAGTGCAGACACCGCCCCAGTCAAAGCTGCAATATCCTTCTTCAAAATAAACAAACTCACAGCAAAAACAAACACAAAAAACTGAAGATTGCTTATAAAGCCAAGCCAAGCATAAGCATGCTTTCACAGTGTTGCAAGAGGACAGATTTCTGTAATTCTGATATGTAGTATTTGCTTGAAATACTGGGGACAACTCCCTGACTGCCCATGTGTGCGCTGCAGGCCAGATCCCGCATGGAGTGGGGAGATCCTGAGATCCTCAAGTAGCTTCTACCTAGTGCCCTACTCAACACACCAACAAGTCCTTGCACTGTACTCGGCTGTGGTCATCACCTGTCTCCCGGCAGGCACTGGATACACGTGCAAGCTGATCAAGGCGGATGGAGACGGCTTCCAAGGCACAAATGCTGGACAGTAACATGACTACAAGCAAACAAAAACCTCCTGCAAACCCACACTTACATATCAGACTTCACCCCATCATCTTTCTCATCTAAATCAAAAGAAGAATAAAAAAGCCGATTGTTTTTGCTAGCGCACCAAAGTGAGTGGAGTGAAATACGTAAGGAAAACTGAGGAAACAAGCAAAGCTGAGCACCTGTTAAACCAACAGTTTTTCGAATTGCCTCATGGCTCATCCCTTTAAATTGAGCAAGTGCTGGGGGAAGGAGCTGACTCTTTCCTTCCCCTCTACCCATATTAACTCATTGCTGTTTCCTCTAGTTAACTTTGGCCCTAAGGTGTCGTGGTAGATCCCAGTTCAGCAAAGCATGTAAGCATACGCTTAAGTTTGAGCTTATTTAACAAAGCATTTGTGTAATTTTAAGCAGGTGCTTACAGCAGCAGGATTTCAGCAGTGCTATTCATCCTAGTCATCAGGCTTTTAAGGGGTTGCATGTTTGGAAAGTGGGGTTGATGACTGAAGCCTTGGAAGGCAAAATATTTTTTCCCTTTCTATTCTATCAGCTAAAATGGTAATTCAGTTTTCATGTCTTGGACTTAAGACAGCTGTCTTGTAAACTGAGGAAGATCAAATATGTACTAGGCTAATTCCGTAGGGATCTCAGAAAAACGTGTGTGTGCATGTCACCATCTCACCACATATTAAAAATAATTAAAAAAACCCTCAGTAAACAAGAAAGAGAAATTAATGACATTCTGGGTTAGCACAAACAGAAGTAACAGGCATGGACTCCATCTGGTACTCACAGGCTTTAGCCTCAGATTATCCCATCAGGAAAGACTGTGTGTTGCAGAGCGCATGGTAGCTGCAGGGTGCTGCAGAGACGGGGACAGCACAGCCGTGCCCTTTTTTAACCTTCAGGGCGCTCGGTGATTGCAGCTAGCTCCTAATAGAGCAGGCCAGCCCCTGCCAGTAACCAAATCGGTGTGCATTAAAGTTATACTGCAGCAGCAGCTGGGGAGAATAAATTATGCATGTCCATTTTCTCCAGCACGAGTGCGGAGAGTGGGATTGGTGCCACTCACCCTCCTCCCTCCACTCGGCAGCAAGACAGCGGCAGCTTCGGCTGCCTCCTTGGGCTCGGAGCAGCACAAGGATAGGGCCGTGCGGCTGCTGGCCCAGGGGCTTCCTAGGGGCAAGGGCAGCCATGGGGAGTTTGCAGGGGAGGCTGCTGGCGAGCTCAGCCCCTGGGGCTGCTCCCTTCCCGGCAGGGCGGGGCCGCTGTTTGGAGACGCAGAGGGCTTCTCCCTGTGCTGCTCTGGGGCGCGGAGGGAGCCCGGAAGCCCTGGCTTTGCGGGAAGCCCCTTGGGATCGTGCCCTTCCCACACTGTGGCATGGGCAGGAAAACGGGAGAGC